CCGTGGGGAGGGGGAATTTTATAGGTTTTTTCACGGAAATTTTTTGCGTCTGGGGTTGTTTTACGAAATAGGCGAAATAAGGGTTTGGGTGGGGGGTGTGTCAGGTTTGTGGGTAGATGAAATTTAGCTTTTCTGTAGTTTATTTTTGGAAAGCCCAGGGATTGTGGGGGAAAGGTTAGGGAAAATAAAACCGGGATGTGGGGGGGAAAGGGGTTGTCGGTTTTTTAGAGCTCTTATTTTGAGTAGGTGGGGTTGGGGGAAAGGTTAAAAAGGGGGGGTGGCTTTCTTAATGGTTTTATTTTTTGTTTATATCAGGGGGAAAAGAGAGAAAAAGGGGCCCGAGGAACGTAGGATGGCCATTGCCCGCATCCTTTTATAGAAAAAGGGGTCGCAACAGGGAAATATATGGGAGAGGTGGGAGAGGGATTTTGGAGGGGTACAGGGAATTTTTTTGAGGGGAAATTTTTGGTCTTTATAAGCTGTCAGGGGGTTGGGAAAGGGTGGCCCTTTCCCCGGGGGGGGGGGGGTTTTTTGCAGAGGTCGATTGTGTGAGTGTGTGTGTGGGAAATTTTGTTTAGTGTGTGTGGAATTGTTTTGAGGAAGGATGTTGAGGGATATTTTAATGTGGTTTTCAATGTAAAAGTCTTGGTGGGTTTTTGTGAAAACCGTTTATTATTAAAATTTTTCTTTAAGGGTTCCTTCATGTTTTGTAAAGGGTGTCAAAAAAAAGTTGTATTAAGGGATATTTTAACCTGTAATTATACATGGGGTACCTATATAAAGGGGCAATGTAACTTGTCATATTTAAAGAGTTTTCATACCCGTTTTTTAACTATTGGAACGTTTTGGTTTTTGTTTTTATAATGTTTGATCTTGCCTGGGGTGTTTTTTGCCCTTTTATATTGTTACGTTTTTTTTTCACATTTTCTTTTTTATATGTTCAAGTGGGAAAGAGTTTTTGATCTTGTGTTAGGGCCCGGTGAAACTGGTTTAGTTTTTCCTTGGGGGGGGGGGGGGGGGGTGTAAGTAATCTCTGCAATGCAGGTCATGTGATTCAATGTCATATTATTTTAGATGTCAATGTTTTCCATTCTCTGTAGGAGTGATGTATAGTTTTTCTCCCACAGTGTAAATAATCTTTCTGCTGGAGGGGGAAAAATGTGTTTAAAATTTTTTTATTATTGTGGGTTTGGTTTATTTTGTTTTAGGTGTTTTTTTGGGGGATATATTATAAGAGCTAAATTTAATATCAAGGATTTTTGGTGGTTATGAGTGGTTTAAAGGGAGACACAGTTACTAGGGATGTGGGGGGGGGGGTTTAAGGGGTCAGAAAGTAGTGTCTTTAAAACCCCCACCGAAACCGATATTAATTATTTTCCATAGGGTTTTATGAGGGGAGGGGGATTGTGTTTTATGGGGGTTTTGAGCCACAGGTTCAGGGGAAATTTCCCTTGGGATTATAGTGTCAGCCGTTTAGTGGGGTGGTTTTTGTTTTAATATATATTTTGTATTGAAGTTTTTAAGCTTTTTCAAATGTGTATGTATAAGAGATTTGTACTGTGTATCTAAGGTTTAAAGTGGCCGTTTTCATTTGGGGGGGGGAGTGTAAGCTTTACTGGGTGGGTTGTATTTTGTTTTGTTGTGTGTGTATGTGTATATGTATGTATTTGTGTATATGTATATATGTGTATTAAAGGATGTATTTTTTTGTATATTTTTATGTATGTATATATGTTTGTGGGGTATTGTATTATATTTATTTTATGTTTTTTTTATGTTGACCCCCCTTTTCTTTTGGAAACCGTACGTACAAGCGGTGTTCATGTGAAGCAAAGTACGTACAAGCGGTGTTTTTTATTGAGTGCAGCAGCCAGTTTTTGTCATTTTTATATGTGCTTCTTTAGTACGTGTAGGGCACAGTTTATTTTTTGTTCGCTTTCCTTATCTTTTTTCATATTGATTATGTTTCCCCTATATTTTTTTAAACCCGAGTTTTAAATAAAATTTTTAAAAAAAAAAAATTTCGTTGAATAAATAAAATATTTATTTTTTATTAAAGGTTCTGATTTAAAATTTTTAAAAAAAAATGATGATGCATTTGTTTGAAAAAGGGTGATAACCCGGTAAGTTTAGTTGGTAGGTTTCAAAATTTTAAAATTTTTTCTGAAAATTAAAAAAATTTGGAAATTATTGGAATCGGGTTTAAAATTTTGGCGAAGGGCCTTTTTGATCGGGTTTCAAAAAAAATATCACCATTGCTGGGTTTTATTAAAAAAAGCTTGGTGTTAAAGTTGAAACTGTTTTAAAATTTTAATTTGTAAATTTTTCACAAAACATTGTTCCCCCATGCAATCTAGAAATGCCTCTTTTGATTTGCTTCAAATTTTTTAGCCCTACTATTTACCGGGTTAAAAAAACTTTAACGCACTCTGCCCCCTTTTTACTGGGAAAATTTTGAAATTTTTGGGAGTTTAGGGGTGTGTAATTTTTTTTTAAAATAATAATTGTGATTAAATGATTTCTGATTTGATCCAAATTTTTTAAAAAAAAAAATATGTTTGGGGGACGGCCGGGGCGGAGGGGAGGAAAGCCCTTTTTAAAAATTTTAATGAATGGAACCCCATTGTAATTTGTTTTCAGAAAAATTTGGTTTTTCGGAAAGGTTTAAAGGAATTTTTGGGCCCCAAAAATTTCGGGGTGGAAAAAAAAGAAAAAACTGTTCATGCCTTTTATATAATTTAGGACAAAAATTAGCGGACAGTAAAATTAGTGTTTTGGGGTAAGGGAAAAATTCGGAGCCCTCACCCCCCAACAGCTCGTTAAAAAGTTTTTTTTTTATGTCGAGCTAGGGTGGCCAGGGTTTAAGTTCTATTTTAGTAAGGGAAGTATTGTGAGTGACCAGTTGCACCCGGTGACCCGAGAAAATTTTTGGGAATCCCGTTTTCCAAAGTTTTGTCAAAAAATTATAAATAAACTAGTTATATATTTTACATTAACTGCATTTTTTTACCCTCCCCCCCCCCCTGTCAGCAAGTCAAAACCCCCGTTGATTTCGTCAACAACCCAAACAAAATTTCAATACCGATTTTCCGGTTTTGTTTTAAATTTAAATGAATGTACTTTTTTTGGGTCCCCGGGTGATGTGAGTGTGTTACTACAAAAAAAGGGGTTTTACAAAGCCATTTTAAATTTTTTAAAGGGGGTGGACCTCTAAGCCCGGGAAAGGGTCGGTCAGATGACCAAAAGCTCCAAAGGTGGGTTTAATCCTGGCTAAGACCCCCGTCCCCTAAACATTTGTCCCGTTTCCTGGGCGAACCTTACCTAACCTAAACCTTTATGTGAAATGTGGGTTGAGGTTGGGGGGGTCGAGGGAGAATTCTCCCCTTTTGGGCCCCCGAGTGTTTTAAAAATTTTCCCCCTACCTCAGAGGTTTCAACAAAAAATTTGGGAAGAATATTTTTTCCCTTGTTGCATCCTACCCCCAAATTCCCTTTTTGTGAACGTGATAGTGAAGTTCATACAAGCAATTCCCCACAAATTTCAATCAGGGCATTGAAGTACAGGGGACCCGTGGTTAGGTTAAAAACAGGGAACCCTTTTCAGATGTGCAGCGGTATTAAAACATCATGTAAAAAAATTCTGTTACAAGGGGAAACGCTTTAAAAACCCTGGGGAATTTTCACAGCCCCCTGGGAAATGGGAAAGGGAACCTATTTTATCCCGGGGAAAGGAAAAGGGGGGCTCCCGGTTTTTTTGGGTTAAGTTCCCTTCACCCGTATTAAATGAAAAACCAAAGCCACAGGCGTGTATAAGTGAGTGTATTTATTTTTATGTGACGTTTCTAAACCCGTTTGGGTCATTAAAGGGCCCGGAGTGGTGGGAGGGGTTTTTCCTCGTCCTTTGTTGATCAATCAGTAAAAAAGTGTGCATCTTGGGTTTCCCTTTGCCCTTGCGAATCATTTTAGCTCAATGAGTTTTAAAGGAGGCTTGATCCTCCATTCCTGTGGGGCCCAAAAAAACTCGAGTGATCCCCTTTTGGTTTAGCGCTTCTTTTTTTTATAATCAAGGGTGATGGGATAATTTTTTCCCTTGGGGTTTTTTGCACTTAGTTTTATTTTAATAAAAACATCCTTTTGGGTCCCTTCAGCGCGAGGAAAGGGTGGGGGGCTCGTTTCCCTTTTTTCCATGTGGGGTCATTCAGAGCAAGTAATTTAAAGGTTGGTCCTCCGTCCCTTGGGGTCCCTCTGGGCCTGGAGTGATCTAGGTTGTTTTTTTGTCGCCAAATGGCAAGGCAGCCCTTTACCTACTTGTAATCACTTACTTTGTTCATTTGTATATCAGATCCTATGGATCTGCTGGCAACGAACTCCCCTCATGCTCAGTGTCTTCGGTTCAATCCCCGGCATGGGTGGAAACATTTGGCATGTTTCCTTACACCTGCTGTCACTGTTCACCTAGCAGTAAGTAGGTACCAGAGTGTTAGTCGACTGTTGTAGGTTGCATTCTGAGGGACAAGATTAAGGACCCTAATGGAAATGTGACAGGTAATCCTGATGACACTGGCTTTAATAATACAAATAATTTTCATTTCAGTGAGCTATACAAGTAATGTAGACAGATGCATTAGTAGGCATAAGAGAATGCCACTAAGTATACAATGCATTTCGGGCAACTTTCTCAGGCTATCCTGGATGGCTAACCCTCAAGATTAAAAATTTGAACAAACCTTTCTTAACGATTTAAACCACCTGTACAGGTGTGAACCGATGTACAAAAGACCAAAACCTATCAGGGGAGGTTCCTTGATGTTGGTGAGGGGCTTTTGGTCTAGGGAATTGGATCTGTGCTCCAATTCCCTGAATTAAGCCTGATTGTCTTCCATCCACCCCACAGGCAGGTGTAATACGGGTCAAGTGTTCCCAAAACTAATAATAATAATAATAATAATCAGACCAGAAGTAATGAGTGCACACCAAAACAAGTATAATAAGTTATATCACCTGTGCAGAGAGACAGAAGGTTACTGAGGAGGATGGTAAGCAAGATAGCAATCCAGCCACTGTAGCAGTACGAGATATCATAGATGCTCTTCGCTTCCCACCTGAGGAACAAATAAAATCTTCAGAATTATGGTATTTTGTTACATTCATTATGAGTGTGGTGTTACTGCTCGTCATTACACATTAGTAATAGTATAATACGTGTATTAATAATAATAACATTCATCTGAGGCAAATAAATGGTATAAAATACCGACACAATGGAAATATAAACACAAATGCAGTATAATGTGATCCTTTATTGACAACGTTTCACCCACACAGTGGGCTTTTTCAAGTCACACACAGATCTACCTGGGGTTGGAAGGTACGAGAGTATTTATAGTCAGAATGTTGAGGTCAGGTGGAGAATGCTGCATCTGATGATCTACCGAGTGGGGTTATAGAGTCTTGGGTAGCTTGGCAGGACAAGTTATAGACCTTCTGCAGTGTTCTTATGTGGGATAGCGATGAAGAAGTTTCTTGGCGAGTGGTTCAGCTATGCTATAGAAGCCATTGTTCTGGTTGAAATTGTTGGTTATAGAGATAAGCGATGATTGCTGTGTACAACATCGCAATTCACACAACCATTTAATTAACTACAGAAACTCAAGACTTATAGCCACAGAAGACAACACTCAATACAGAAGAATCCTGGAATCATCGCTTATCTCTATAACCAACAATTTCAACCAGAACAATGGCTTCTATAACATAGCTGAACCACTCGCCAAGAAACTTCTTCATCGCTATCCCACATAAGAACACTGCAGAAGGTCTATAACTTGTCCAATACCCCTGCCAAGCTACCCAAGACTATAACCCCACCCGGTAGATCATCAGATGCAGCATTCTCCACCTGACCTCAACATTCTGACTATAAATACTCTCGTACCTTCCAACCCCAGGTAGATCCGTGTGTGACTTGAAAAAGCCCACTGTGTGGGTGAAACGTTGTCAATAAAGGATCACATTATACTGCATTTGTGTTTATATTTCCATTCATCTGAGGCGCAAAAACATGTGGGTTATTCAGTATAAGAAGTGTTGGTTGAAGCCTCCAATATGGGCATGAGTGCATAATAAAGATATTAAACCAACTAGACTTTTCCCTCCTCGACAATATAGAGAGAAAACGAAGTGGGCATCTTAGTATTATTAAAATCTCAGTCTGTTACCTGTCAAACTTTAGAATGTCACATATAAAGGAAGTGTTGTGTTTGTTAGGAAACAGGAGTGTCTCCTAACAGATCTTTATTAGATGACCTGTTAACTAGTTAAGCTAGGATCACTATACGGTAATGATCCATTATAACTTACTGTAAGATGCCTTGTATGAATATTATTATTGTTGTAATAATAAGTAGGTGGGAAGGAGATTTTCCTTAAATTACACTGATCTTCAAGTTAATCAACAAAATACATGTGGGTTAAATAAATACTATTATTCCTGCATTTTAAATTTTCGTATAAAATCAGTCAGCATATCGCATAAATAATATAGTCATGCGCCGCATAACGACGTTTCGGTCTGGGGAAATAGACAG